CGAATCCAGTGGCGTTAGTGATGGAGATCGCCCTTTCAGTTTTTCAGGAACTCGATCGATCGCTTGAGTTTGCGAAGCGTCCCCCTCCTCGGCTTCTTGCATCGTCCAGTACGCAGAATGAGAGGCCGCGTCGTGGGTGACGGATTACTCTCCCGCGTCTTCATCTCCACGACACGTCGGCAGGAGAACCGAGCTATCCAAAAACCGCCAATGTCAAAACAAATCCGCAAGTCCACTAGTGGCTGAGCTTCTTCCTCATAATTTGTCTCGACTCGAGCACGCGCTGCGAAGTCATGGTCAAACTAGTTTCTGTGCATGATCGCGTCCCGTTTTTCCACTCCGAAAGGCATTATTTTTCAGAAAAAAATTCGGAAATCCAACATGGCGCTAACCGTCATAATAATCAATGATAATAGCGTAAAGCGGGATTCACAGAAGCTTTTTTGTGATGCGACACGCGATGCGACAGGCGCGAAACCGGGAAAACCCCAAATCGCAGCCATGTCGCGGCCCACGCAACTGCCGCAACTGGGCCATCGCAGAAGTTGAGCTTGGCTCAACTTTTGCGATGCGATGCGATGCGACAAGCGATTTGGTGTACGATTTTGACCTTTTCTACAGCAAAGTTGTACAAAGGTGCAAGAGTTGCCTATAAATTTTTACAAGTTGTGTCAAACCGCGCGAATATCATGGTGACGTACCCAAATCAGCAAAACTTTGTCGCATCGCTGACTTCTTCTGTGAATGGTATTTCGCGAGTTCGCATCGCACGCATCCATCGCAGATCGCGTCGCATCGCGTGTCGCATCGCAAAAAAGCTTCTGTGAATCCCGCTTAAGACGTACCCACGAGGCCACAACGCGAGAGTACGGCAGCATGAGCAGAGTACGAGAGTACGATGCCGGATCAACGCAGGGCGGACCAAGGTGTGGTAGTGCCACAGCACGAGGCACCTCAGCAGTTGGAGGTGGCGAACGCAGGGACAGCATCAATATTGGCAGCTAGCAGCAGCAGCAGATGGGCGTGATTTTTTTTCTTCTTCAAAACTAGCAACGAGGAGCAGCAGGCAACCCTCGTTTCACTCGTGATTGCTTAATCACATGGCAAAAACAACAAAAAAGCAACCCCATTCTATGGTGCTATGATGTGTGTGTCTCGGGGGGAGGGGCGATAACTGTCTATGTAGGTTTGCAGCGTACGGCAAACCGTAGTTATCGCTGACAACCGAGCAGCAGGCAAAAGCCACGCGCGTGGCTAGGCGCGCAACAATTAATGGGGGTGTCTGGCATGCAATGGCGGGCAGCCGTACTGGGGAAAGCCCAGGCCGCAGTACGAGTACGCCCATATGCGCGGGCGAGACTACCCCATATTTGCATAAGGTATCAGCGCTACTAATGCAATGTTTACCACAAGCAGGGCTCATGGCGCCTAATCTCTATATTAGGAAGCAGTTCCTTTTATGGCACGAAAGGACTCCAGCGCGCGTACTAAGCCTCAGCCAAGGTACAGTACTAACGGAGTACGCAAGATAGAACAGGCGGTGTGGCGGAGCAAACATACCACGTATGGAAGAGGCGAAGTCCCCGGATTCCGCCCGGCCCACAATGACAGACACCACCATGCTTATATGGGAAATAAGGCGCGAGAGCCCACCAGGTAAGGCGGGCCACATAAGCACGTGGCAAGCGCAAATAGCGTGAGACGTACCCACGAGGCCACAACGCGAGAGTACGGCAGCATGAGCAGAGTACGAGAGTACGAGGCCGGATCAACGCAGGGCGGACCAAGGTGTGGTAGTGCCACAGCACGAGGCACCTCAGCAGTTGGAGGTGGCGAACGCAGGGACAGCATCAATATTGGCAGCTAGCAGCAGATGGGCGTGATTTTTTTTTTTTTTTTTTTCTTCAAGACTAGCAACGAGGAGCAGCAGGCAACCCTCGTTTCAATCGTGATTGCTTAATCACATGGCAAAAACAACAAAAATGCAACCCCATTCTATGGTGCTATGATGTGTGTGTCTCGGGGGAGGGGCGATAACCTATCATTCTATCCATTCTCCATGTATCATGTAACTGTATAATCGTGCATACTTATGTTTGTACCGTACACATGTACAGCGCATGTTCGCCGCGAGGGTGATGCCCTGCCCGGACTAGGTAGAGAGTCTACTTGTATAATTTTTACGTTTTAGCAGAAATTTCTGCCAACCCACCGGTGCACCTGCTGTTGTAAAGCATGAGAATGTATTGTTCTGGACTCAGGAACTCAGCAGTTGACGGTGACCTTTGACATGCAAGCACCATGCAGAGATGCCCCACCTACACAGCTGCGCTAGTGGATTTAAAAAAAAAAATATTTATGGATTCCCAAAGGCCGAGGCCTAAGTCGAGGGGGTCTCCGTTCATGGCTTACTGGGAATATATCTGCAAAATTATATTAATTATATAGATTGAGAAGAGGAAGGGTTATAACAAATGCATACTGTAGAAATCAGCCATACCATTCTTTACTATGTTCTAGAAACTCTGGAAGGAATGAAACCAGCGGGTTCGAAGCGGGTGTTGGCAAAGATAGTACGGACACGAGACACAAAGCAATGACTATTTTGGGTGGTTCTAATGTCAGTGGGGAGAGAATTCCAGGTGGCAGCGGTAACAAAGAGGAAGGTGGCACGCGAGTAGCTGTTCGCCCTGGCAGGCGATACAAGTTGGAGAGGGCGCCGCGCGCTGGTGGAGAGACTATAGCCCAGCTCCATAAGGGCAGTGGTCTGGTGGTGGACCAGGTGATGGAGCTCCCGGAGGCACTGGATGTGTCGCCGCCATGCCAGACTGGGCCATTGCAGGTGCGCGAACAGAGATGCCTTCGGTTCAGTAGCGGAGGGAAACACACCGTACTGTCTCAAGACGACTCGTGCCAATCTGGCCTGCAGACGTTCAAGCACCACCGCTTGGGATGCGGACAGTTGGAACTGCCACAGTGGCGAGGCGTATTCAATGGTGGGTCGGACATAACCAGTATAAAGCCGGTTTGTAACTTCCGGCGTTAGGCGGCTCGACATGTGGGCAAGTAGTACCACGCGTTGGCGAAATTTGGTGGTGATTGTTTCGATGTGGCACTGGAAGTTGAGATGGCTATCAATTTGCACGCCAAGATGTCGGTGCGTGTCGACCGTGCGCACTTCTTCCTGGTTCATTCGCAGGTGCCCGATGTTTGGAGGGTCCGGTCCGTTGGTACGTTGGGAGAACGTCATTTGGAAGGACTTCGTGGGGTTAAAGCGTCCACCTGCCGAGTCGGCCCATTTCAGGGCGGCATCTGTGGCAACTTGGAGTGGGTGACTATTGTGGTGTTTGTAACCAAAGACATTGTAAATCACCTGAGGGCCAGACTATTGTCGGTAATGCTAGACCTTATCACTCCCTTAGTATTGACTCGCATAGATTTTTGCCATACCTAAGCAGTCAAATATTCCTGCATATTTCACTCCTTAGGGCTATATTGACTGCTTATATTTGACTGCTTAGGGGTTGCGCAGTTGAACGGTGCCTAGTGCAGCATTTTCACTGCATGAGTAGGTGGTGGTGCAACGATTGTGCAATCATAAAACCGGGATTTATGAGGTTATCGTTCTGGAATTTGAAATACGGACTGTTTGTCGTGATAAATCTAATATTGACTTTGTACTTGGTCAGTATAGGAAATAAAAGACCTCGTAAAAGACCTCGGCTTCGCCTCGGTCTTTTACTCGGCTTTTATTTCCTATATTGACCTCGTACTCAGTCAATATTAGATACTTATGGAAGTGTCGAATGACCGCACTTGGCATTCATCCATTCATGCATGCTAGCTACATGTATCTCGTGTGTTTGGACTACCTCCATTATCTTCCTTTTATATTGCTCTACTCTGTAATATTCAACCAGTTGCGTACTGGACAAGTGAACCACGGTTGTGCTTTGTTTTGGGTGTTGTGAGTCACGGACTAAAACACTACAACTATGATGCTGGGAAGAGGGAGTGGTAGGTGCAGCGACTTCCGTTCCAATGGTCGTGTCATCGGCGAAGAGAATAACTTGACAGTGGTCCTCATCTGGGATGGTCTGCGGGAGAGAGTTGATGTATAGAAGGAACAGGATAGGGCCGAGATGGGATCCTTGTGGTACGCCAGCGGCTATAGGGTGGGTTGTGGATACGGAGGAAGTGACTTTGACCGTGAATTTCCGGTCACCAAGGTAACTGGAGAACCACGAAAGTGCGTTAGTAGTAAGTGCGGGGCGGGTTCTGGCTCACTTTTTGACCTTTGACCTTTGGGCCAAATAAGGCACACTGTGTCGGTCGTGCTTGGTCTGGCCCCGGGACTCCCCCAGGGTTTGACCTTTGACCTTTGGGTCAAATAAGGCACACTGTGTCGGGCGCGCTTGGTCTGGCCCCGGGACCCCCCGGGGTTTGACCTTTGGCCCTGCCATGCCATAAATGTCATCATGTTCTTTTCCGTGGCGACCGTGCACTTGTGCACGTTCGGTGCATTCGCACCAGGGAGTAGTAAAATACGTACTACTCCCTGATTTGCACATCGTAGATGTGCATTGCATGCAGTGACACATTGCGCATGCGCGCACAAGCACGCGGAGCGTGCGACCTTCAGTGGCCCTGCGTGTGGAAAAGACGCAGTGCAACACAAGGTGGACTAGTACACGTACGTGTCACTATACTAATGTGTGATAGCCGACCTCATACGCTGTACGAGGAGATTTTTTCCTCAGTATGTTGTAGGCAGTGCTGGAGGTTACGTGACGATGGCGGAGCCAAGTGCAAAACGATCCAGACAGACCAGACAGCCCACCTCGAGTGCCGTGCGAGGTTTTTTGAAAAAGTTTTCTTTGCCAGGTTCAGGCACAGATCCTCTCGTCTTTTTCAGCAGCCATCATGACGAGCTCCGACAGGTTCTGCTCGAGGAGCTTCAGTCTCACCCGTTCAAGGTGGTTTTAGTTTTGAGGGTGGAGATGACACGAGAGTCGGCCACGGGTAGTACGTCTGCCTTCCCGTTTTTTAGAAGTAGACCGGCTCGGATCCTCAGCGAAGGGGACATTGATAGTGCAGTCAAGACGATGGTGGCGAGGATCACTGGTCTTATTGATAAGTGGGTGCAGAACGGATCTGACTGGATCGTTTCTCGAGTGAGGCAGCTGGATGTGTCGACAGCAAAGTACACTCCTCTTCGAGGTGAGTTTCTGTTCATCCGGCAGTGTTTGTTCGAAGCCTGTCGAATTTCTTGTGAATTTGTCGTAGACGTATGTTTTGTACCAGATGTACAGTCTTTCGTGATTGTCGAGGGGGTGTAGTTGTGATGTGGTGTTACTCTGAGCAAAGCATTCGTTGTATTTTTGTGGTGTTCTGTAGGTGGTGCAGCTGATATCCCGCCCAAATTAGAAAAAAAGAAGGCCATCATTAACGTAAAGAACAACGACGACAGGTGTTTGATGTGGGCGTTGTTGTCAGCGCTGCACCCAGTCGAACAGAATGCAGGGCGTGTGTCCAGGTACACCCAGTACGTTGATGAGCTGCGGTTCGACGGTGTAATGTTCCCTGCAACGCTCCGTGATGTACCCAAAGTGGAGTTACAGAATGGTCTTGCAATCAATGTGTTTGGCTACGAGGGGAATCTGTACCCACTCTATCTCAGCGAGCGACAGGAGACTCCCTTCAACCTGCTTCTACATGACAACCACTTCACATGGATAAAAAACTTCAGTCGTGCATGTGAGAATAAGAACAAGCGGGCAACACACTACTGCTTCCGATGCCTCTCCGCACACAAAACAGCAGACTCCCTGCAGCATCACAGCGAGAGATGTCAGGTGATGAAGCCCGTGCCAGTCGTCATGCCCACAGCAAAGGACAGCATCCTCAAATATACAAATTTGAAGCACAGGATGGTGGCTCCATATATCATTTACGCTGATACGGAGGCCATCATTGAGCCGATGGAGGAACAGCATGGCAGCAGCACTGTACGCACAGCACGACACGTGCCATGCAGCATCAGGTATGTTTTGTTGTTGGTGTTGTCTTTGACTAATGTTTGCTGTACTCGTGCCTGCACAGTGCTTCCTGTTATTCCTTCTTGTCTTGTTCTCCCCAAATTGTGTTCATGTTGTAGTATGTGCATTTTGTGTGATTCCGTTTTTTCAAAAAATCACTTATTCTTACTTTCCTTCTTCTTTTATGCTCTTGTAGATATGCTGCCATCCGATCCAACGGTGAAGTCCGGGGCGAGTTTGACGACTGCAGTGAGAATGCCATTCACAACTTTTTCGACAGTCTCAAAGAGTTGGAAGGCAGTATCCAGGAGGATTTGGCTGATATCAAGCCAATCCGCATGACGGCAGAACTGGAGCTTGAGTTTCAGAACGCAGTCAACTGCTGGATATGTGACGAAGTACTTGGAGAAGATCGTGTTCGTGATCATGATCATCTCACTGGCAAGTATTATAATTTTTTTTGTTTATTTTTGTTGTTTTGCAGTTGTGTGTAGATATGCGTATGATGTGTATAGTGCATTTTCATGTCTTTGTAGCTGTTTGCATCTGTGTTTTATCACGGTGTATTGAATTGTATTGTCTGTGGTATCACCTTCACTGTAGATGTTTACTATGTTTGTGTATTCCCCTCTTTCTGAATATCTGCACAGGCGACTACCGTGGTGCTGCACACTACCAGTGTAATATTCAGCTGAGTATCTACCCAGATCGCCAGATCATTCCGGTTGTGTTTCACAACCTGAAAGGGTACGACGCTCACCACCTCATCGCCCACATTGGTATGACCGAGGTTGAAGAGGTGGAGTACGAGGACTCTAACCAGCGTAAGCGGATTAAGAAGGTTGGTGAGATCAGTGTCATCGCCAACAACATGGAGAAATATATTTCATTCAAGTGGCGTCAGTACCGCTTCATCGACTCCATGGCCTTCTTGAACTCCTCTCTGGACTCGTTGGTGAACAACACCCCGGAAGATGCCTTCAAGCTTACTCGTACAATGGCCCATCATGACCTTCTCCTGCGTAAGGGTGTCTACCCCTACGAGTACATGGACTCCTTTGCTCGGTTTGATGAGACACAGCTGCCACCTAAATCAGCATTTGAGTCTAGTTTGACTGGAGAAGGTATCAGTGATGCCGACTATGCCCATGCTCAGAACATATGGCAGGTAAGCAGCTTGTGCCTTCTGTATTGACCCTCAGGATTTCCCTGATGCCATGCTTTTTGTATTGTGCTCACGTATGACTTTGTATGTTGTTGTGATGTGCTCTACTCATTTTTTTTTGTACTCATTGCTCTCTATCTGTGGATGTTTGGATGCTTGTGTGTATGGATGTGTGCATGTGTGGTTGTATTGCTGCTTTTTTTTTTGTTTTTCGTTTTGCAGACATTTGAGTGCAGTACAATGGAGGCCTATCATGACCTCTATTTGCAAACAGATGTCTATCTCCTAGCAGATGTCTTTGAGCATTTCCGCAAGACGGCATACAAGACGTATGGGTTGGATCCAGCCCATTACCTTACTCTCCCAGGTATGTTAATCAGTGTTTGTTGTTGTCCAATGTATTCTCTCCTTTAGATGGTGTTCTCTGTTAGTATTCTTGTGCTTTCTTGTCAGTGTATTTTTATACTTTTTGCATGGTGTATTGACTTTCGTGTTTGTGTTATGGTGTGTTGTATGGTGTTATGTAGGATATGCATGGGATGCTCTACTACGGTTCACCCAGATTGAACTGCAGCTGCTCACGGATGTAGACATGCATCTGTTTGTCGAAGCCGGTCTACGTGGGGGCATCTCAATGGCGTCGCAGCGGTACGGCAAGGCCAACAACCCGACGATGGATCAGTACAATCCTGCCGAGCCCACATCATACCTGCTATACCTTGATGCCAACAACCTGTATGGCTGGGCTATGTGCCAGAGTATGCCGACGTCTGAGTTTGCCTGGTGTGACAAGAACCTGTCCGAGATACTGGCACACCCTGTAGATTCGAGCACTGGGTTCATTGTGGAGTGTGATCTTGAGGTACCCTCTTCGCTGCACCACTACTTCAATGATTATCCACTCGCACCGGAAGTGATGAGAACATTCTCAGATAAGCTATCACCATACCAACAAGCACTTGTGGAGGAGCTCAAAGTGTCAGCCGTGGATGGAGTCAAGTTGACACCCAGTCTCCTACCCAAGTCCAAGTATGTGTTACACTACCGTACACTGCAGCTGTATTCGCGTCTGGGCATGGTGGTGACCGCTGTTCACAAGGTGTTGGGATTTCAGCAGAGTGCCTGGATGGCTCCCTACATCAATCTGAACACTGCACTTCGCACGAGGGCTACAACCGACTTTGAGAAGAGCTTTTACAAGGTAAATGCAATCGTTGTGTGCAGTCTGGTATGTTGTTGTTGTTGTTGTTGTTTTTTGTCCCATGTATGGTGCAAGTGTGACGTGGAGTATGCTAATTGAAAATATGCTGATGTGAAGGAATGGTATGATATGATTCTCATGTGTCATGTTTTCCTGTTTGTGTGCTGCAGCTGATGAACAACTCAGTCTTTGGCAAGACAATGGAGAACGTTCGTAATCGAACACGCATCGATCTCTTGCGAGAAGAAAGTGAGGAGCAGGTACTGAGGGCAGTGAGCAAGCCTACATATGTGCGGCACGACATTTTCCCGAACGGGCTTGTCGGAATAGAAAAGCAGCACACTGAGATCAAGCTCAACAAGCCGGTCTATGTGGGTATGTCGATACTAGACCTGTCAAAGGTGCACATGTACTCATTCTACTACGATGTGCTGAAGGAGCAGTACGGTAGCAGAATCCGGCTGTTGTACACCGACACCGACTCTGTTATTGTGCACATAACCACCGGTGATGTTTATGCGGAGATGGATCTGTCTCTGTATGACACCAGCAACTTTCCCACTGACCATCCTCAGTACACTTCTGCCAATAAGAAAGTGGTTGGCAAATTCTCATCTTGGTGGGAAATCCATGGTGGAGTTTGTAGGTCTAAGATCGAAGATGTACTCCTACATCGGACAGGAATCGGCCAAACGGGCCAAGGGTGTGCGAAAGGCAGTCCTGGCAAATACCATCACCCACAAGGACTATGTAGATGCACTGCTCAGTCATCGTGTGTCTTCCAGGCCCATTGTCTCCATTTGACTGCAAGCGGTATATACTGGATGATGGCGTGGCCACACTTGCATATGGTCACAAGGACATTTAATGGGCAGGACCCCACATTGAACATGTTTCATCATTTTCATGCAAAACTCCCCGCCATTCTTCTGTCTAATATTCCTCCTTTCTTGACGTGTGGAGCTGGCTTCAACACTCTACATTTTTGTTAAATATTTCAGGCTTGTGTCACAATTATATTGCAGGAAATAGTGCATTGTGCGGTATAATAATCTTCATCGCATCATAAAATATTACCCTACATACTTTGGTTTGCAGTGTGTGCGCAGCATAGTCCATATATCATCAAATTGATCAAGTTCAGTACCTGCGGGCATATATTTCCCCAGCTTGAGAAAATGCTTATATACTTGCGTAAATTTATGCTCACAATGATGACATAAAAATGAGATTAAAGTCCATATGATGGCCAGTATGAATGTAGTTATGATGCTTGTTCTTTCGGCTGGTGAGGTTTGAGTGGATTTCTCTGCCACCACATTGCTGGCTCCGAACAGCACTGGTGCAAGCAGGAGTAGTTGTTGAGTAAGTTTAACTTTATTCAAACGCCCCTTCACTTTCTCATAGGCTTCGCTGTTGCTTGGCTCGGCTGATGGGGTGTCATTGCTTGAGGAGTCCATCTTGATCTTACTGTACCGGGAATTTTTTCTCACATCCATTCAACCATTAGTATGAGAAAAATTATGGCCAAAAAGGCTGAACGGGGATGAGTCCATACTGAGCGATTCGACCAGTTGAAGTCGTGTGTAAGGGTGTTTTCAAAGCTTTGCCAACCTCCTTTTTCCGCCAACCAGGGTGAAACATTGGTGGTCATGTAATCTAAGTGCCAGGTCATGACATGATGTACATAGTGCAATCCCAGTTCCGTTGAATTCTCCATACAGATGTTCGCTAACTCGCTGCTGAATAAGTACAGGGCCACAATTTTAACATGGCTGATACCGTTTTTAAATAGTTCTTTTGCAAATGTAAGAAATTGCGTACGACCCGTTCTGGAGTTGAAACACAGTTGCTGCATCAGCACCTGAAATCTCGATCCACTGCGCCTGACTAAGCGACACACTCGTACCAAAACTCTAGAAAGCCGAGATGGTTTCGACTCCGGCGACGATACACATTGTGGTAGGTCTACATGACCTTGTTCTGCCAGTCGATCAGCAATAACAGCAGAAAGCAGATTTCTTGCAGTAGTCTGCATTGTGCACTGCATCATCGTTTCCCTATACTACTATCCTTGGAAATATACCTCATTTCTTTCTGCGATACCCATTGGTTGAACTTTTCGGGGTATCCCTTCCACTTGACCAGCAAACTACCCTTACGTCTTTTCAACACCTTATCGATTCGAAATGTAGCTTGCTCAGTCTTCATGAGCTGCTGTTTGTAGAAGCTTCCTGTGATGGGTTCATCGGCAAGGTCTTTCACTTTGTAGGTGACCGGATAAGTGGGGAGAACCTTACGAATCACAAATACCTCTTCAGTCCAGTTGGGTGTGTACCCCTTCGCAAACATTCTTTTTTCCACTGTAATGCGAACTTTATCTCCGACTTGAAAGACAGGCTCATCCGCAATGGGCTCATACAGTTGCTCAATCGGTTTCCCTTGGGAGGCTTCCATGGGGGTCATCCCAATTGTACGGTGTTTACTATTGTTGTAGTTGTCGACAAGTTTTTGCAGCACATCGATGTAGACGTTGGTCGAGCGAGCGGTGAAGTGCTTCCACATACGAGATTTTAGCGTTCTGTTGAAACGTTCAACGACGACGGCTTTTCCTGCATTCTCTGTACTGTACATGTGAATGTCGTTTTTCTTCAACCACTCCTTGAACGTTTTGTTATAAAATTCCGAGCCATGGTTCACCCATAGTAGCTTAGGTTTCCGATTGGTTGTGATGGTTTTAAAGGCTGAGACAACACTATCCCCGGTTTTGCTCTTAAGTGGCACACTCCAAGCATACTTCGTGTATATGTCTATAACATTGAGAATATATCTAATTCCTTCGTTATATTCGCTAAAGGGCTGCATTTCTACGAGATCAGCACTCCATACATCGTCCTTGCCGTAAACGTCCACTTTTCTGCGTGGGAAATGTACTCGCTTAGGTTTATGTAGCTCATCGGCAAGATCATCTTGCCAATCCCCACCAACCATGACTTGATCGTTGTGAAGGGTATCGTGAGAGAACGTACAGGAGAGGAATTCCAATACTCCGTCTATACCAGTCTTTGAGAAGACTTTCGCTACCAGGATGGCATAACGTCCGCAGACCGCTGTGCTTCTATCTTGAATGACTTGCGTATTGGTGTACAGGTTACAGCCGGTATAAACATTAAGAAAACATTGTTTTAGCTCCGGTTCTTTATAGTCTTCGGCCATCTGCATCAATGCACGCCCGAAGCTGTCAAATATCAGAACATTATCGCCTTCCCTACACACCGTCAGCCAATGGTGTCCCCCTTCGGGTTTGTCCAGTATCGGGAGTATGTTGTCCGTGTTACACACACAAAACTCGCCATGGTTTAAGGCAGGCAGGAGATCGTAGCTAGTCACACCTCGGAACCCGCGAATGTGTTTTAGCGCAGACTCGATGTCCACGTTGCTCAGCTCCACATCCATACCTAGTATACCAGGGATTTTCCTTTCAGAATAGCAAGTGTTCGGTAATAGGGACTCCTTGTATTGCTAGCCACTTGCCGATTCTTGAAGACACTTTTGATAAAGGTGGCATCATCAGCCATGTGCTCTTTGAGACCTAACATAAATTGTTCTGCGTTGATAAGTTTTGCTTCTTTGGTTCGAGTGTAGGCGTTGATCATATCTCCTATACCGGAATATTTGTCTGCGGATCCTGGTATGGCTAGAAGCTGAGTTCTTATTGCCGCCAATTTCACATTACTCCTCGAGTGATTTGGAAGCGCATTAAGGTTGGCTGCTGCTGCAATCTGCTGGAATGGATAACGCGACAGGTGAAACTGATTGATTTGGTTGACCAGAGTAGCATAGTCTTTGAGGATGTGAAATTCGAGGTTATCTCTAGTGTTTTCCATTCTACCTCTGAGCCCCTGCTCATCCTCCTGATAGACTTGGTGTAGTTGCGGCCTTGCACTGAAGTGGCTGCTTTGCAGGAAGGCTTCCGGTATCTTATGGTCTACTAGGAGTTTACCAAATGTATTTATCACTATTCTATCAAACTTTGGCTCCAGAGCGGTTTGCAGTGGGATACTAGCGGCAGAGATGTTTCTCCTCATTCCAGCCTCTGCTATGGACCCTCTTGCCATTCCAGAACTCTGATCATAATCGAGGAGATTCGATGCAACAGCATTAGTAACCGAGGATGGGTTTATCAGATCCGGATTGTTCTTAAATGTTCTATCATACATAGCCTTTACTCGAGGGTTTGATTTCACTTGGGAGATAGGAAATGGGCGATCTTCTTCGGGGATATAGGCCAGTGCTTCTCTCACTTGCCCGGAAAATTTCTTATAATCTCCACCTCGTACTGGAGGAGTACCTTGAACCTCCCATATGGTGTCACCTTTACTCAGGATATCCTGGGGGTTTTGTAATATCATCTTCATGGTCTAGTCTCTCTTCTCTGGTGGTATTGGGTGAGTACGGCCGTTGCACTCGATGCAGATAGGTTGGAAGTGCACCCGTATTCGCTCCATTTCTGTACAACGGGCTTAATCAATCTCATCCACTCCTACCCCCCGTGCTTCACAGCCAGCAATCCACTCAAAACTATCAACTTCGGATTCGATTTGGACAATTAGTTTTACTCTAGGGAATGTGACCTCCCAGGTGTCTCCAATCTTAGTGACGGTAACCGCATCCCACTCACTGTGGGTGGGTATAATGCGAACACTGACACCATCCATACTTACTATAGGCAGAAAATATTTTATTCAAACACAACCTTCGATGTTATGGAATCACAGTGAGTATAAAACTCATTGCGTGATGCATCGACCGCTAGAAAGGGTCTCCAACAAGCTTCTAATAGTTTTTCATAGAGTTTATAGACAAGATTAGCTTTCAAACAGGATCCGCCAAATAAAGTATGAAGATAGCGTTTGATGTTGGATTTATCTGTAAAGCGAAAAAGATAGAGGAAGTTGGTATTTATCTTCATATCTTTGATGTTATCAAAGCTTTGAGAGAGAAAGAACACATTAAGTTCATAATGATGGCTATACATGGTGAAAAACTTGTAAAGACATTCCCTCTGACTGCCATGCTTCAGTCCCATGACACGTATATCATCTATAATGACAAAGGACTTGGGCTGAATGTCCGTCTCTTCGATACACTCAGGCATTGCACTGTAATGTTTCAACTCCGTGCCTTCCTGCCTGTATTGCTCCGGTGAAGTATTGGAGATGACGTAAAGTCTTTACCTCTCGAAGTATTTCCTTGAGGTAATGGGATTTCCCCATGCTGCTCTGACCCAGAAATAGCACATTTTGTCCCCATGTTTGGAGGGAGGGGAGAATCTCAGAGTACTTGGGTTGAGATCGTAGAGACAGACCTGCTACGCGGAGTAAAGAGGCAGACCCTCCTTTCAGAGACAGCAGTGATGAAAAGTCCATACTTACTATAACGAGAAAAAATTAAATGTTAAAGCTCTGAGGTATAAACGAAGGGTTATGGGTATTTTCTATGCGAGTTCGGATACGGTCAGTAATGGTTTCTGGAGGGTTTGAGGATCGTCGTCTTCTACCTCTCTTCTTAGCTCCTGACTTGATGCCGGACTGTACTCTCGACTTTGCATGTTCAAACAGCTGCCTTCCCAGACCTTCAACCTCCCTCTTCAAACCGTCTCCTTTGCGCTTCCTTGCACGTTGCCCCCTGGAGGATTTGTTAGTGGGTGGTAGCTTCGATCGTCTTTTCTGATATCGTCTCTTGCTTGCTCGAGTACTGCTTTTTCTACTATTTCCCTTTCGACCCCGGCCAAATACCTTGTCCACCAGATTGTCACCGACGGACGCTAGCGCCCCCATAGCTAAGGGTGCACCAACGGTTTTCAATATGGGTAGGGCTTTAGCCACGAGTCCCGGTGGAATGCTCAGTCCGCCTCGCTGCATCATGGGTTCACGGCCAGCTACCATCTGACGTCTGATGGACTCACCGTCTTGACCTCGACCCAAGAGCATGGGAAGAAGCGACATGCCTAACATCGCCCCCATCCCAAGCCCACCCCTCTGGGTGAGCTTTTGGCCTTGTTCGGGGTCTTGCATTCTTTTTCGAAGCTCCTCAGCCTGTGCACCTCTAAAGATGTTTTTGATGAAGCCCCAGATACCAGACCCGTACTGTCTTTCCAAAGTCTGTAGATCACCTCCCCACGCTCGGGGTGTGGTTTCCAAATCTCCTCCCTGCATTGTTACTATAACGTGGAAATATTTACACAGTCTCCCACTTGATGCCTTCTTCCTTGCTCATGGTATACATATACTGGTCGAGACATAATAAATTGACCTTGATCGATGTGCTTGCGTGACTGGGTACATTGATCGGGGCGTTGGCCACATTGGCGAATTGATAATCGAGTGACATGTTACCCCTGACCTTTTCATTGTCCAGCATCCTGTCTAGATTGAGGTTGATTGGTATCATAAAGTAATGGTTACAGTAATCCGAGGCTGTGATAGGTATTTCAGCCCCATAGGTCTTTCCAAAGAACTCTTGAACCAAGTTGTATCCACGTAAATAGCTCGACTTGTTATAGTCATAATAGTGCTTGGCATCACTGTTTTCGGAACACTCCCATCTGAACTTCAGCGGACTGTCGAACACAGATTCATCGTTAATGGTTACTCTGAGTTGGGAAAGATTCGCATGTACCATGGCCAGGCGATTGCTGAAATTACTGGCAGCGCCGCCACCCAAGACAGCATCCTCTCCGAGTTTCAGATCAGAAAAGAACAGGATCATCCTCCTAGGAATATCTGAATTGTGGAGTAGCTCCAGAGTACCTGCATCGTCTGTCAAACTCTTCTGTATAAGCCGAGGGCACCAGGTATGGAAATATAGTTCTTTAGGCAGACGCACTTGATCTACGTATGCCTTATCCATTCTATAGGTAGGGTAAACAAAGTCCAGCTGCAGCAGATCAATGTTGACAGGCCCAACACCTGTTAGACTGTTTGCTCCTCCGCCTCTATCCGAGACAATCATGTATCTAGAGAGCTGGGTTTGCGGTAAATCAAACCGTATTTTGATTTGTGTTCCTGGAGGCAACCACGCATCATCCACATTGAAGAAGGGAAGGAATGGTCTCATTTTGAACTGGAAATGCCCTGATGTCACACGGGCAACGTTTTCCAGAACAGTATTACTGAAGTTCTCCTCATTCGACAGGTGGACAGTGGGCCGTCTTTTCAGTGTCGTACCATCGAAATCATCTTCGCCATCTGTGTTTGTTGCAAACGCATAGGCGTGCGAGCGTTTTACACCATACCGATAATTCCCTAGAGGTATATCTTTAACACACTTCTGGGGGTCGAGTTTCTGAAGTCCGTACAGATCAGAATCGGAATATTGGAGTTTAGCCACGTCACTCTCCATAAGGCTAAGAATGTGTTGCACACTCTGCATATCTTGCACCTTGCTAGATTGCGTCACCTCCGTGCCATTTAGTTCCACGCGGATATTCTTGAACCATGAAAATGCAGGGGAGGTGGTACACACCCAGTGTGGATATGATCTGGCTCCATTAGCCCGACTATCACTAACTTCATACCGGAGTTTGACGATAAAGTAACTTTCACTCAAGGCAATGAAATTTGGTGATGATATATCCAATTCGCTGTTCAGAGAGGGTGGTGAGCCATTTCGAGAATACAGTCTTACAAAGTTTCTCCCCTCTAGGAGTGATATCTTCTTTTCGGTTCGCTCTAGGATGCTATTCTGTACCACTTTAGTTTTCGACAGCAGCCCCTTGAAGGGGTCTGGGATCTGAGTGGCCACGACGTGCTGCGCCATTCTTACTTGTACGTGGAAAAATTTACTCGATTCTCAGATCCAATAACGCCGGGTACCCCGTGGTGATAAACTCTCCAGTGTTGTACTTCAGCCAAAATGATATTTCCGTAACGCTTGAGTGCGGAAGTAGAGCGCGTTTGTCTCTCTCTCCAAATATGTAATTGTTGATACCGTTGTGAGTTTGAATGGGGAACGTCTTCAAAATCCTCGAGTCCTGATTGTCTTCATATTCGACGGCCTGGGCGATC